ACAAAACTATTTTCATAGTAAATATTTAAAATAAAACAAAAACTATTGTTTAAGGTCGGACAATTATTTTTCATAATATTTAGTATTGGTTTTAGTAGTAATAAATGAACGTCAGTTGAAATTTATTTGATTAATACTTTAAAAAATAATTCAAAATTTCGATTATAGCATAAAAAGTGAAGAAAAAATATTCCAAAAACTAATATAAATTTAATGTAAACAATAATATAGAACTTTTTACAATCTGATATTTTACAATACTTATAACTTACTCTAAAAACTGAATACAATACCACGGTAGTTACAAATTTTTGTTCAAAACAGAGTACATGCAATAAACGAATAAAAAGCATGACTCCTTTTTTTGTTCTGAAGTTGCGATGGAAAATAAAACGACCACCAAAGATTCTTTGAAGACTTGAAATTTGTTTCTTCGGAGGAAAAAAGTGTTCTATAAAATCGTATAAGCTCACTTTAATATGTAGCATTTGACGATCTTGTTTATTTACTTCAAACAGAATACATAGTCCTTGGACATAAGTTACAAAAGCAAAAGTAGTCTGTCCTAGAATTTCATATAACTATAGTCAATGATGGGAAAATTTATTATTATACTTTCAACAAAGAGTTATTTCGAAAAAATACATTTTCTCTATAACTAAAAAAAATCTGAAATTTCGCAAAAGTAATTAAATTTTTTTGTATCTGAAGCATTTTTTATAGTTTATTTATTTATTTTTCATACATTGTTATTTATTTATTATAAATGGACACGCCCTTTCGTGCAAATAGTACGAAATACTATTATTATTATTTATTTTTTTATATTTTGCAGTGAAAATAGAATTTTAAATAAAGTAAAAATAAAACAATAAAGATGATATACTGCAATTAATATGAAAAATTTATCAACACGGTAATAATTTTTTTCGATAAAAAGGAGTAAAAACTAGTAAAAAAGAAGCAAAGTGATTTTTAAAAATTCACTTGCAAAAATATTTATATAAAACAACGCTATAAAAAATTTTCCTTTCACACAGAAGCGTTGATTTTTAAAAATTTGTCAAATAAAAATGTTAAATTATTTATTATTATTTTATTATTACTATTATTTTTTATCATTATTGTACTTATTGTGCATACAGTTAAAATAGTAAGTATAATTTAAAAAAAACAGTTGCATTTTTTACATAAAAATCGTTTTTTTTTTAATCACACACGCCCTTCAATCGAGAACATTTCTCTTTGATTGCACTCTTCATTTACAATCAATGAAATTTCATGGTGATCTAGAAATTGACTTTATTTAAGTTTTCAGGAAAATAAAAAATTTGCAAATTTTCCTGAACAACTTAAATAAAGTCAATTTCTAGATCACCATGAAATTTCATTGATTGTAAATTGAAGAGTGCAATCAAAGAGAAATTGTTCTCGATTGAAGGGCGTTGTGATAAAAAAAAAACGATTTTATGTAAAAAATGCAACTGTTTTTTTTAAATTATCTTATACTATTTTTAACTGTATGCAAATAAGTCAATAATGATAAAAAATAATAATAATAATAAAATAATAATAATATAATTTAAAACATTTTTATTTGACAAATTTTTAAAATCAACGCTTCTGTGTGAAAGGAAATTTTTTTATAGCGTTTGTTTTATATAAATATTTTTGCAAGTGAATTTTAAAAATCACTTTGCTTTCTTTTTACTAGTTTTCTACTCCTTTTTTATCGAAAAAATGTATTAATCCTTAGGAATAATTTATGCAATATTAATTGCAGAATATATTATTTATTTAATTACTGTTTTATTGGTAATAAATAATTTTAAATATAATATATAAAATAATAAATAAATATCTGTATAATAATAGAATTAATAAATATATTTGCAACTTTTAATATTATTAAATAATATTAATACCAATGTATGAATAATAAAAGAATAATACCTACTAATGCTAATATTTAATAACTTTTGCGAATATTTTTATTGTATTTATTATTATAAAAAAGGCATTTTTTCGAAATAAGGACTCTTTGTTATAGTATAATAATAAATTACTGTCCCATCATTGACTATATATATATAGGACAGACTACTTTGCTTTTTGTAACTATATGTCCAAGGACTATGTATAAATCAATAAAAGTAATAATATTATTACATCCAGTTTCGCTTCAAATGCTGATATTATTAAAGTGAGCTATATCGATTTTATAACTTTTTTTTAAATGAAACAAATTTAGGTCTCTCATTCTTTCAATGATTAATTTATCTGTTCAAGAAGAGCAACTAGAACACATTACTCACTATTACTAATACGTTAGAACTAATTAAGCCTTCTCTAATAACAGTACTCCTAGAGAAGCAAAAAATTATGTAATAAATTTCAGTATCAAAATTGTTACAGTAAATTATTAAAGTTTGACTTAAAATTTTATATCAAAAAATTTAAATAATAATAATCTATTTATAAACTGTTTAAACAATTTTTTAAGCAAATAATTTATATTATTTATATTTTTCTTAAAATTTGCTTTTTATATTAAAATCATTCATTCTAATAACCATTAAGTTTGATTTTAATTATATTTTTCTTTTTTGGACTGATAGTTTTTGAAAATATTAAGTGAAAAATAATTGTCCGACTTAAACAATAATTCTTTATTAGTAGTAAATAATAGTTTAAATCAGACATAATCCACTAGTTTTTTTTTGATTTGTTAGTAGTAAGAAGTAACAAAAAGTGTTAAATAATAATTATCACTAACAGTAGTGAGTAAGTTTTTAAGTCAGGGACATTAATTTATCTGATTAATAATATTAATACCTAGAAAAATCAAGATTTATACTACTGAATCAAAAATTGAGGAATACAAATCAAATATTTTTTGAACTATTGTATAATGTAAACTGCAGTTATTAATTTACCGTATCTCCACTCTCATAAACTGGAAACGTATCCAAGAGATCAAATAAATATTTCCTTGTATCAAATATAATAAATTTTTTTTCAATCATTTGTACTACTGAAAAATATTTCCTTTAAATACAGTTAAAACAAAAAATAACAAAAAAAAAAAATGACTAAAATTATTGGTTCGAATACCACTGATTTATTTGAACGTTTTTTCCTCTTTAACTATTAAAAAATTTGTTTGAATCAAGTAAATTTTATTTGATAATAAACAAGTGATCATTAAGTTTAAACATTATTAATATTTAAGAAATTTCATATAAAATTTTATTCAATTCATTAGAAAAATATCTTTAAATTTGTTCATAAATATTACACTTTTAAAACAATTTATATTTACTTGTTTCATTAAAAATAATTAACGACTCATTTTTATTACATTCTCATCATATGAGAAGGTATTTTTTAATATAATATCAATTATTTAAGTATTTGTAATCTTCAAAACAATAGTATTAATTTGTTTTAAAAGTGTAATATTTATAAGCAAATTCTAAGATATTTTTCTAATAGAATTGAAAGTAAAATTTTATATGAAAAAAATTATTTGTTTAAAATAATTGATCACTTGTTATTATCAAATAAAAATTTACTTGATTCAAACAATTTTTAATTAATTCAAATAAATCATATTCGAACCAATAATTTTAGTATTTTTTTTTTTTTTGTTATTTTTTTGTTTTAACTGTATTTAAAGGAATACCATTTAATTGATTGAAATAAAAATTATTATTTGATACAAGGAAATATTTATTTGATCTCTTGGATTTCTCTTACGTAAATCCAGTTTATGAGAGTGGAGATACGGTTATAAGAGAATTATATATAACATGCAGTTAACATTATACAATAGTTCAAAAATAATTTGTATTCCTTAATTGTTATTATTGCTAGGTATTAATATTATTATTAATTAATAAAAATGGAATGTCTGACTTAAAAACAATTACTCACTACTGTTAGTATAATTATTAATTTAACACTTTTTTGTCTGACTAAAGCTTCTTTTTACTACTAACAAAAAAATTAGTGGATTATGTCTGATTTAAACTATTATTTACTACTAATAAAGATTATTGTATTATTTTTTCTACTTAAATATTTTCAAAAACATATCATCCAAAAAGAAAAATATAATTAAAATCAAACATTAATGTTATTAAGAATGAATGATTTTAATATAAAAAGCAAATTTTAAAAAAATAAATAAATATAAATTTATTTGCTTAAAAAATTGTTTAAAAGTTTATAAATAATTATTATTTTGACATAAATTTTGATATATAAAATTTTAAGTCAAAACTTTAATAATTTATGTAACAATTTTGATACTGAAATTTATTATAATTTTGCTTCTCTAGGAAGTCTGTTAATTAGAGAAGGCTTAATTAGTTCTATGAATAGTATTAGTAAATAGTGAGTAATTTCTAGTTGCTCTTCTTGGAACAGATAAATTATCATTGAAAGAAGTGAGAGCCTAAATTATGTCATTTAAAAAATTATACAATAAAATAATATCAGCAAAGCGAAAACTGGAATGATAATAAACAAAAAATGTATTTTTATTTTATTTATTGATTTATACATACGGGACAATAATAATAATAATATGATAACAGTAATATTATTATTATAACTCCTTATTATGCCTTTTTTATAATAATAAATTACAATAAAAATAATTGTTATTATTATTAGCATTAGTAGGTATTATTCTTTATTATTATTGGTATTAATATTAATAATATTAAAGTTGCAAATATATTTATTAATTCTCATATACAGATATTATTTACTATATTTTATATTTATATTTAAAATTATATACTATTACCATAAAACAGTAATTAAAAAATAAATAATATTCTGTATTGCATAAATTTATTCCTAAGGATTAAACATTTTTTTTAATTTTTCAAATTTTCGCCAAAAAAAATATCTATCGTTGGATTTGAATTTGAATTTTGCAGATATATGGCGATTATGCGACCTCTTAAACATCACATGTCTCGCAAGAGACAATATTGGCATTGTTCTCAATCTGGTTCGCTTCAGCCATGTTAGCGATACCTTGCCTTCTATATTCAACTACAAATTCTCGAAGGTAAAATAATATATAACTGTCACGTGCGATATTTTGATTTGCATGTTAATTTAAAAATAGATTACTTTTCCAGATCTTTTATCTATCATATGTGTGCGTGTATTATGTATCGTATAGAGACTTTGTTTTTTTTTGCAAAAACCAAATTTGAAAAAAAATAATGCGAAATTTTCTACTTTATTTCACTAGATACAATCTTGGCTATACAAGTGTTTTTTACAACCGTAGAACATTCCTTACAAACATTCCTTAATACTAAATTTTTTGCGCCTACAGAGCGACTTGAAAATTAGAGTACTCGCATTTGCCTAGACCACCCGTCTAATGGGTTTTTCTCGACAGTAGAGAGGGAACTGTAGAAAACCTCTCCAAGTACAACCGGTTTATCAACTTTCCTGTAAAACCAAAATCAAAAAGTTATCACACTATTTCCAAAAAAGGTTAAAAAAGTATGATTTCTAGTTTATGAAATTTTAACTGGTATCTTTTTGAAATTTTAATAAATATGTTTTTCCTCTTTTAGTCCTTAAATTTGGGCCAAAACAAACAACTTTTTCTTTAAACACATTCCCGAAGAACAAAAATCAAAAAAGTTATCACACTATTTCCAAAAAAGGACAAAAAATTGTGATTTCTTGTCTTTGAATTTTTAAACTTTGGTATCTTTTTTAAATTTTAATAAAATATTGTTTTTTTTTCTTTGGTCCTTAATTTTGGGCCAAAACAAACAGCTATTCATTTAGACACTTTCCAGTAAAACAAATCAAAAAGTTATTACACTATTTCCAAAAAAGGCAAAAAGTTGTGATTTCTTGTCTTTGAAATTTTTAAACTTTGGTATCTTTGTCAAATTTCAATAAATTTTTTTTTTTTTTTTGTCCCTAAATTTTGGGCCAAACAAACAACTTTTCTTTTAGACACTTTCCAGTAAAAAAAAATCAAAAAGTTATTACACTATTTCCAAAAAAGGACAAAAAGTTGTGATTTCTTGTCTTTGAAAATTTTAAACTTTGGTATCTTTTTTCAAATTTTAATAAATTTTTTTTTCTCTTCTTGTCCTTAAATTTGGGGCCAAAACAGCTTTTCCTTTAGACACTTTCCAGTAAGTAAGACAAAAATTAAAAAAGTTATCACACTATTTCCAAAAAGGACAAAAAATTGTGATTTCTTGTCTTTGAAATTTTTTAAACTTTGGTATCTTTTTTTAAATTTTAATAAAGTATGTTTTTCTCTTTTTGTTCTTAAATTTTGGGCCAAAACAACAGCTTTTCCTCTAGACACTTTCCTGTAAAACAAAATCAAAAAGTTATTACACTATTTCCAAAAAAGGACAAAAAAGTGTGATTTCTTGTCTTTGAAAATTTTAAACTTTGGTATCTTTTTTAAATTTTAATAAAGTATTTTTTCTCTTTTTGTCCTTAAATTTTGGGCCAAAACAAACAGCTTTTCCTTTAGACACCTTTCCAGTAAGACAAAAATTAAAAAGTTATCACACTATTTCCAAAAAAGGACAAAAAATGTGATTTCTTGTCTTTGAAATTTTTAAACTTTGGTATCTTTTTTATTAGATTTAATTGTGTGATTCTTTTTTGTTTTTTGCCATTTTTAATTTTTAAAATCTGACTTTAGATACGTAATCAACGACCCCCAAAAACTCCTGAGTAACGAGTTTCAGGAAATTGAATCTATTCTTAAAAAAGTTGTCAGTCATATTGAATCCGCTATTTTGAATTTTGAAAAACTGACATAAGATTCGTATCAGCGACCTCAAAAACCCCCAAGCAACGAGTTTCAGGCAAATTAAATCAATTTTTTAAAGTTGTCCGCCATATTGGATCCACCATTTTTGAATCTTGAAAAACTGACATCAGATTCGTGATCAGCGACCCCAAAACCCCCCGAGTAACGAATCATATAGGCAAATTGAACCTATTTTCAAAATATACCTTGACACTTTTCATTTAACCCCACGGCTCGAGCCGGGTCCCTCGGACCCGGTGGAAAGTTTTTTTGATCTACTTTTGGTTAAAAAAATATTATTGAAAAATCAACTTCACATTAGGCTTGGGGACGTAAAAACACACATTTTTCATCAATATAAACAATTTTTTATTTATAAAATATTCTGGTAAATTACCTTTTAAGTCGAACATACGTAAGGGCTCAAGCCGGGTCCGAGGGACCCGGGCTATGGAAAAAAATTTAAAAATTTGCAATTTTTATGCAATATTGGATTTATTTATGGTATTTTTATCAACACTGACATAATAAGTGATAACATATGCTTAATACATCGGTAAATTTAATGGAACAAAAAATACACATTAAAAAATCTTGCTTAATAAGTATGTAGTTCGATTTATTCAAAATGACTCATTAAATTATTAAACCATTTTAGTTATATCTTGATTACTTTTCAATATTTAAAATTTTTTATGCAATTATATCATTAAAATTGTATTAAATATGGAAAATATGAAGCACACTTTGCTATTAAATTTTATTTTTTATTGCATTGAAACATCCGGTCCCTCGGACCCACCTTGTGCGCGCATTTCAAAATCGAACTCGAGCCTGTGAGGGTTAAGGGTTGTTTTCAGCCCTATAAGCCCCAAACGACTTGATCCAGCAAAACGGCCAGACACGGGTTTTTTTTTTTTTTGTCCTAGTTTCTGAAAATGTTTGATTTTTTTTTGTGTGTGAAAAATCGTGTCGGACGGTGCACTATACCGGAAAAAATTTTATTATTTGAAAATATTTCAATTCTCATGAGCATTTTTTCTTTTGCGCTCAAAATGATAAATTTCATAACTCTTAAGTTTATTCGAGTAGGTTGCAGTACAATATTCATTAAAATAAAGGCGTTAATGTTTTACCAAGGTTTAAAAGGATTTACTTTTGAAAAGGAGGAAAATATCCAAAGAAGAAACTTAGTAGCAACAGTTATTACTGTGAAAAACTTAAGTCGTATAAGTGAAAATAATGCCAAGGAGTTTTTTTTTCACAAGAAAAGTGAATAAAATTGCAAATTATCTAATACAATTATTTTCTTTACATGGAAAATTAAACTCTAAAGATAAAGAAAATGTAGAGATAACAAATAGAACAAATAAAAGATAAAACTATTCGAATTTTTACATTAAAGTATTAGAATAAATAAGGAAAAAATAAAGAAATAAATTGAAATAAATAAATTAAATAAATCATTACATAATTTTTTTCCTATCGAAGTACAAAACTTCACTATTGATCTTTGTGTACTACAGACGTTAACACATTCAGAGTAAATAAATTAAATTTAAATAAATTTTTATTTGTTCTATGAAGTGAAAATTTTTAAGTGCGTCCAATGAAATATTTATTTAATGCAATTAAAGTTGCCTACTTACTAAAGAAGATAAAATCGATTGATTAAAAATATTAGTTTGGTTTACTTCAAAATTTATTGTAAAGAAAACTAAAAAAAGACTAATAAATAAATTAATCAATAATAAATAATAGAAATATAAATAAATAAGAAATAAATAAAATAAAGTAATAAAAAAGAATTTAAAAAATAAAAAAAATTACGAAAATAAAGAAAATAAAGAAAATAAAAAAAATATATAAATGTCAATGTTAAGACGTAACTAATAAAAGTAATATGTGATAATAATTAACGAAGAATGAAACGAATCAATAACAAAAGCAGCGAATAATAAAAACGATAATATTAACGAACAGTCTCAAACAAATGTATCAATGTAATGAGTAATAGTAGATAATAAAGAAAATTATGTAACAATCAACAATCAAATGTTTCTTGCCTTTAAAAAATATATTTTAATAAAAGAATTGAAAATTCTTTTAGAAAAAAATATGAATTATCTATTTATATAAACTGCTTATGCAAAAGTGTATAAATTCCTTCATGTAGCGAGTGATATAACACTTTTTTTTTAAAGAAAGAAAGTTGAATTGTTAAAAAGTTATGAAAGAGATAAAAAGATTTGATGGACGCACGTACACTGAAAAGCTTTATGCCAAAGGTTGTGTAGAAGATTCTAAATAATAATATAGTCGTTGAAATATTTAATTATTTCTTTTTCTTCGAAAAATTCTTAATATTTTCTAGATTAAATTCTTTTTTTTTGTTATTAATAATAAACGTAGGTGAATGATTGAATTCACAATTTTTTCTAATTAGTAAATAACAATTTTGGTTTCATTATTTTTTAAAAAGCTTATTCTGTCACATTCATATTCTGTAGGGGAATGTAGTCAGGTTGGCCTACTGTCTAGGTAGGCCACTCGCGTTTTTTTGTCAAGTTCACTAGCGCCACCTACGCGCATTTTTGTCGAAGCTTGTCTTAGTGAAACCTAACTTTTGTTCAATTACATTTTCGGAAAATCGAAAATTGTGTTTTCTGTGACGTCGGTACAAAAAAAGCTCAAAAAAAGTTTGTGCATAATGTGAAAAACCATTTATAAAGATAAAAAACAAATTGAATCATCAAGGCAAGTATGCAGAAAATTTGTGGGACTCATGGTTGAAAGGAAAACAAAGTAAAAATCGAATCCGAAACGTATTTCTTTATGGTTACAACCAATTCGGTAATGTTACTTACTGTCAAGGTCGGCCACTATGTGTTTAAATGCGCAAAGTTGAGGACGAGCTACTTCATTTGCAAAAACTGCAATTCTGTATAACTCATAATATAATTGATCATCTTATTAATATTTTTTTTAATTTTATTAATATTTTAGTGCAAAACTTTTTTTTATTTATATTTATTTTTTATATTGTTTATTGTTATTATTTTGTTATTTCATTAGTTACAAACTGTAAACAATAAGAATCAATTTTCCGTACTCCAAACATGTTATTTTATTTTTTAACGATTAATGCCCTTTGAATTTAAACATGGCCGACCTTGACTGTAATGGCCAACCTGGACTACAAATTTTTTTTTTTTTTAAATCTTTATAACTTTTTCATTTTTAAACCTGTCAATTTACTTTGTACAGAAAAAATGTTCCTATTAAACAGGACTTTCCAACCATATACTTCAATTGTCCAAATTCATTTTAAAAAAAAAGTTATAAACAAAAGTCAAAAAGTGGCCGACCTAGACTATGTTCCCCTACAATTTATTCATATTCTTATTTCTAGGATTTTTATTTTTTGAATTCCATGTTTTATTCTGTATATTTTATTTTCTACATATTATTTTTTTTTGTTTTTGTATTTTTGTATTTTTTTTTATATTCATTTTGAACATTTTTATTTCGTAGGTACATTTCAGTTTTTTATTTTCGACATCAATTTCTTTTATTGTACGTTTTTTATTATTTATTTTCCATTCTTCATTTTGGAAAATTAATAAATAATTTTGAAATAAAACTAATAAGTAAAAGAACTGAGATTTGTGGAAAAAATGTGAGTGTAAATTTTTCATTTATTTGATTTTGCGCAAAGTAATTTGTGAATACTTAAATCCCAGTACTCGACAGTACTGAATTACTGTTGTTTTCAGTTTGTTGGCTTTGAGCCAATAAAACGTTCACTTAGGCTTTATGAGTATTCTCTAGACTTGTTTAGTTTTCTTGTTCCTTGCAAGTCTAATTTATGACAGTCTGAAAGTCGGAAAATGCAATTTTTCTTCATTGAATGTTACAAAATTACAAAGTGAAACTTACATATTTTTATTTTTCTATAATTTTTCCAGTATTAGTTAAATACTTTAAATTTTCAAAATAGTTTCTATCATTACCTATTATAATAATTTTTTATTTCTATTAAATATTTATTTATTATTAAATTATTAAGTTTTAAATTACAAACACAAAGAATTATTCTGCATTTTTAAATTAGGAGATAAAAATAAATGCAAAATACGAATTTAAATCTGATATTCAAAAAAAACCAGTAGCGATAAAATAAAAATAAGTAGGGGAAAATTAGCGAATCGTGTTTTTTTATCTCGGGGGTACAAAACTTTTTTACGTTATGTGTTGACGTTAATAAGAAGTGTCGTTTAAGTTAAAGTAACATTACATCTAAAAGTTTCAAGGAGCGAGAAAAAACATGACACGTCAATTTTTATTCCAAACTTGTTCTTCTGCGGTCTGAAACTTTATTCCATTTTCACAATACTATTCACTTGTTTTATTCAATATTATTTGAGATTCCTAAACTAATTTTACCCCGTATTTTCCCAAAAAAAAAAATCTTATTCTATAAATATGTTTACTCTCATCCGTCAAAGTGAAGAGTCGCAAAAAAAAGTTTTTTTCAACTTTATTATATTTGATGGTAAATACGAATATAAAATATATTATCAAATAAAATACAAAATAAGTAAAATGAAACAAAAGTATAGTAAAATATAAAATAAAATATGAAAACGTTAAATGTAGAGAATAAGCAATTAAAATATAAAATGAAGCAGAATTTAAAAGAAATTTAAATTTAAAAAGTTCTCAACATTTTTTTTTTAGCAAAAAAAAAAACAAGGATTTGTTGAAAGTTCGTAGAGAATTAAGTGAATCTTTAAATTCATGTTTGCGTCACGTTTTTCAGTTTGTGAAACAAGGAAATTTCATGCTGTGGATTTTGCAATAGAATTAGTTGGAATTAGTACGTGAATGCTCAACAAGCTTTAATGTAATTAGTACAACATTGATAGAATTTAATCCTGTATCACTTTCAGGTACATTGTATTTTTTCCGCAAAAAAGTTATATACTATAAAATAGTAAAATATAATTTATTTATTTATTTATTAAAACAGAAATTATTCAATAATTCTCGCATAGTTTCACAAATATTAATTTTTTTTTTCATAATTATTATTTCGTTTTATTATAATTTATTATTAATCATATTACCTATACTTTAGGGTATATTGTTATTTTTTATTTTCCTATGTCTGACTAACACTGACCTAAACTACTTAAATTACTTTCTAAAGGGGTTTTCAATTTCTCTGTAATAAATGTAACCTTCTGTCAAGATTATAATCACAAAAATAAAACTAAACAATAAAAAACGACAGAAGGAAATCAAGTAGTAAAAATCATTTTCAGTCAGACCAACAATGTTTGTAGTTTTAATTAGTAAAAAAAATAATTTTTAGTGATTTTATGCTTTCTTTTTAAGAAAATATTTTAGAATAAAACAATCATTTTGCTATACCTGACTAAAACTAAATTATACTACTTGATTTAATTTCGTTACCTATTAATTCGATAGTAGTAAAAAATAATTTTTTTACTAATTAAAACTAAAAATTTTGATCTGACTGAAAATGAATTTACTACTTGATTTTCTTTTGTCGTTTTTTTATTGTTTAGTAGTAAAATCGATTAACGTCAAATGTCTCACTAAATCATTTTCATTTTGTCGGTGGTTCTTACTACTAACGAAATAATAAAATGTCTCAATAAATTAGTTTAATTTTGTTGTTAGTAGTGATAGACCTTTTTAGTCAGACCTATTAAAATTATAAAAATTCCTAGTCTGACTAGAAATTATGTTTATTACTTGATTTCCTTTTTACTTATTGCAAAAAAAATTCGATTACGTCTAACTATTGCTTTAAATTCTTTTAATTTTAGTGGTAGTAGTAGTAAAAAACGTTTTTAGTCAGACCTGTTAAAATCATAAAAATTTTGTCTGGTAAGTCTGACCAGTACCGACCTGAACTACTTAAATTACTGTTTCTTGAATGATTTCCAATTTTTCAGTATTGGAAAGCACATTTTTGTCAATATTAAAATTATGAAACAAAATTTCATTTTTGTGTTACAGATATAATAGCGGAAATACTAGAATCGTCTGTTATATGCAATGGCCTGATGGAAGTTATCCAAACAGTAAAACCGAATACATGTAAGTCATATTCAACCAATTTCCTTATCCAATTAATATTAAACAGGCATAAAAATAACTGAATTCTTTTATATATTTAAATATTTAAAAAAAATTATACTTAAATACTAAGTATTGCGACATGTTTAAAATTCAATTCTTAAATATTGAATAATCAAATATTCAATAATTCTTAATTATTAAAAATTCATAATACTCAATATTATTTATCGGATATTGATATAAATATTAAATATTAAAATTCATTTAAATTTTGTAGGAATTAAAAAAAAAAACCAAAGAAATAACAATCATTAATATAAAATATTTGTAAAAATTAATGAGATTGATTTTTATCTCGAGAGCCACTCTTTTCCGTGTGTGTCGAGTCATTTTTTTTTTTTTTTTTGCCGCAAGCTTATTAATATTTCACACCATGCGTCAGAGTAATAAGATCTCTGCTGTAGAGATGGGGTAGGAAATATTAAGCGAAAAATAAATTGAATCTGTGTGGTCAAGTGAAAAGAGGAAGGAGATTAACACACGTACTATTATGAGAATGACGTGTTCTGCGCAACGTTTACTCGCAAGGGAACAAAATACATATTAATCTATTATAGAAGCCCCTTTACAATTGACTTTTTGTTTCAATTTCTTGAGAAATTTCATTAAAATGAATCAGCTCAAAAATCGCATATTTTTTTTTATAAATAAACAAGAAATTTTCTCACTTTTGAATTTTGTAGTTGAATTCGAAAACTCGTTTAATTATAATTTCAATTTATTGATAAAAATAATAAATAATAAAAAAAATAAATAATAATTTTACTAAATTATTGAATTAAATTAACTCTAACTATTTTTATAATTCAGAAATAAAATTATTAAAAAAATACTATTATTGTAAAAAAAACTTAAAAATATTCTCCAAACGAATTTAATTATTACAATAAAATCTCATAAAATGGTTTAGAAGATTTAATTTCTTATCTGATCTTTAATTTAATAAAATTCAATAATAAAATTATTAATTAAAATTATTGACAAAACTCGATTATTTTTAAAACTTGAAAGAAATTTATCAAAAATTGAAAAAAAGAAAAGAATATTAAGAAGTAACCAACAAAAAATTTTTTTATTATTAAAAGTAAAGATTAGATATTTTTTGTACGAGAAAAATGATTGACAAATTAACATTTCGTGAATGAATTGTAACGAAACATGCTATTAAATCGCAGTGAATCAAAATTGAGATTTCGTAGTTTTATCCATCAGGAAAAAGCAAATATTTTTTCTCTGTCAAGTTTTCTTTTCTCATCAATCCTTTGGTTAGAGGATGGTTCCTTCCTTCTCTCTGTTCCTATACCTTCATGTACTCAGGTCCTCCTTTCCGCCTCTTTCTCGTTTGTTCTTCGTTCTCAATAAACCTTTTACACGATTCAGCTTGCGTCATCATTTGCCACAACAGCGAAATAAAACAGAAATAATTATCCTCGCTACACAAAATTTTTTATGACAGAATTTACTTCCTTTACAGTATTGTAAATAATTCAATATACTCGATTTTCTTTTATTTTTTAATCAATTATTTAAAGTTTTATCTATGAAAGAGAATATCTTTCATTTCTATCTTCTTTGGATTTCTATTAATTTTTAATTTTTTTTAAAATAAGTTTTAGTGAAACTTTGTAAAATTTGTTCAGTAACATTCACAGTGTAATTTATAGTAAAACTTACAAGACAATTTTCAGTAATATTTTTAGTAAAGTTACAAGACAGTTTTTAGAAACATTTATAGCAAAGTTTCCAAAATGCTCAAAGCAACATTTAGAGTGAAATTGACGAAAAACCTAATGAGAATTTACGAGACCATTTGCAAAGAATTTTATCAAAATATTTAAAAAAACACAATTAATTCTTCAAATAACTTTATTATTTATAAAAATAATTAAATTCTTGAGAAAAATTTTATAAAAAATTTTGAAAATCCTTATTAAATTCTTAATAATTTTAATAATTTCATTCGTTCAAAGAAGTTTATTATTTATAAAATAATTGAATTCTTGAGAAGAATTTATAAAAAAATTTGAAAAACCTAATTAAATTCTTTTTTAGAATTTGAAAATAATTTCAATTCCTTCAAAGAATTTTATTATTTATAAAAATAATTTAATTCTTGAATTTTGTGAAAAATTTTGAAAATCCTAATTAAATTCTTTTTAATACCTATTTTCCTTGAATTTTTTTATAAATAATGAAATTCTTTTTTAACTAATAGAAAATTTTCCAAGTAGTTGTATTTTATGAAAAAATTTTTTTCAAGTTTTTAAATAATCGTGTGTTAGTAGGTAGTAATTAAATTTTAATTAATTATGATTAATTTAATCATTGATTACTGAATTTTATTAAAATTTTTAGAAAATAATTAAATTCTTTAAAAATTTTATTACAATGTTTTCAATAATGTAATTCATTCACAGACTTCTGTTAAAAATATTGAGAATAATTGAATTCTTTCGAAAATTTTCTTTAATTTTTTTAATATAATCAATTTATTAAGAATAGTAATTAATAATTTACTAAATTTATCAGAGTTTTTAAAATAATTAAATTATTTTTATGAATTTCTTTTTTTAAATAATGCAGTTTTTTAAAAATAATTTTGATTGAAATTTAATAAAGTAATTAAATTTCGCGAAGAATTTTTCCATCTTTAAAATATATAGAATTGTCTCTGTTATAATTATAATTAAAAATTTTGATTATTGATTTTCATTATAATTGTATTGTGAAAATAATAAATGCCCGAGAAAAATTTTATTATTTATAAAAATAATTGAATTCTTGCTAAGAATTTTACCAAAATTATAAAAAATAAGTGAATGTTTCGAGAAATTTTATAAAAAATTAAAAAGTAAGTAATTAATCCTTTCGTTAAATTTTATTTGAATTGTATTGAAAATAATTGGATTTTTGCAAAAATTTTACCTATTATTTATAAAAATAATTGAATTCTTGAGAAGAATTTAATAAAAATTTTGAAAATCCTAATTCAATTCTTTTTAATAGTTTCTTTGAATTATTTTAAAATAATGAAATTCCTTTAATAACTAATAGAAAATTTTGAAAGTAGTTGTATTTTATGGAAAATTTCTTTCAATTTTTTTTAAAATAATCGTGTTTGTTAGTAGTAATTAAAATTAATCATTAATTACAGAATTTTATTAAAATTTTTAGAGAATGATTAAAGTCTTCTCAAAATTTTATTACAATTTTTTTAAATAATTTAATTTATTCACAGACTTTTATTAAATATTGAGAATAATTGAATTCTTTCGAAAATTTTCTTTAATTTTTTTAATATAATCAATTTGTTAAGAATAGTAATAATAATTTTACTGAATTTTATTAGGATTTAAATATTTAATTGAAATTTGAAATTTAAATTTTAAATATTTTTTTTCATGAAATATATATATATATATATAATATATATATATATATATATATATATATATATATATATATATATATTATAATATATATATATAATATATATATATATATATAACTGTCTCTGTTATAATTATAATTAAAAATCTTGATTATTGATTTTTATTAAAATTAAATTGTTAAAATAATTGAATGTCAGAGAAAAATTTTATTATTATAAAAATGATTAAATTCTTGCGAAGAATTTTATTAACATTTTTGTAAAATATAAATAATGCTAATAATTATGTATTTAATAAGTGAATTTTCGAAATTTTTAAGCTGAAATTATTAAAATATTTATATAGAAAAACAAAAAATTTCGTATTGCATTATTATTGGCAAAAATATTTATAATAAAATAAATTGAGCATGAAGTTCGGAGCGTAAAATTTAATAATAGTCTTTCTCATTAGTAACGTGAATATAATTACAAAAAAGAATGAAATTAAAACATATAATTGAATAATAAAGAATAAATATTTGAATGTATAAAAAAAGTCAGTCCCTCATATTTTTTAACCAACAAAGGAATTAATTTTTCAAAGCAAATGAAATAAGTATGTGAGTTGGAATTTTCGAATAAGAAATTTCTATAATGTTATAAAACTTTTGTTGTTTGAATGTTACGTTTAGCATATATATATACACACAGATACACATATATGTTCCTCACACATATAAAAAAGGTTAAAAGTAACCGGAAAAAAGTTTGCGTTTCATTCTCTTGACTTGCTATGCTATAAACTATATTGTTCATTCATTAGTGATAAATTATGACATTACATAAGAACTGCATTATTTACGCGAGTCACATTGAACTCTCTTCCTTTTGTGTATATAAAAAATAACGCCAAGCATACATTTTATTTTTTTTTCCTTCTCTCTTTTTTTTTGAATAAAAAATAAAGATCCCGAGAAAAAAGTGTTGAAAGGAAATAAGGCGAGTGGTGTGTGAGAGTGTTTTAAAGTAAACATCATATATTTTCCGAATAGGAAATTAACGATGATTTAAAACGAAGAGTTTAAATTTTTTTTATGAATTGAACAAAAGCTATATTATGATAGATGGAATTTTTTTTAATATAGACATGCCCATGATAGGAGTTCTGTTAAAAAGTTAAAATGTATAAGGAGTTTATTTGAATTTTATTAAAAGGTTCTTTTTATAATCAACTATTAAGCAGCTCGTTATTTTTCCAACTGCATAATGACTTGAAAGCAATGTTTAATAAATAGTTTTCTCATTAAAGGAAAAAGGAGAAGTTCTTCTTTCATTTTTTTATTCTGCTGTCTTGCATTCAGAAACGTGAGGAGTTGTGTTCCTTTTTCTTTGTTAAAGAAAAAAAATTCCCATACAGAAAATATTAATTCATTAATTTTAATTTTATTATTTATTATTTAAATATTTATTTCTTTAATAATTAATTTTTTAAATATTGTTAAAATTAATTAATTAATTAATTAATATATATTAAAAATTATTAATTATTATAAAAAATTACAATTTCTAATATTGAAACATTGATACATAATAATATTTACTTGTTATTTTGTAAGAAGAAAATAGTATATAAGCAACAAGAGGATAAAGGCAGCATTGTTTACGGTGATTTTTGTGACACGAGTGGAGGTCGAGGGCGCCCCGAGACTCGGAGTGATCGATTTCTTCATGCTTTATATTAATTAAAAAATGACAAATTAATAGAATCATTATTTTATATATTATAAGAATATTGTACTTCTTCAAAATTATTGCATCATTTCAATTCAATTATGATTTTTAAAAAAATTTACACTAAAATTTTTCTGTAAATCAATTAATTTTCGAAAAAGTTTTCCAACAATTTTCAAAATCCATTTATTTACAATATTCAATTTTACAAACTTCAATTATTCGTAAATTCTGCAATTAAAAATATATGTTAGAAAATAAAAACTTCAAATAACAAAAAGAATTCAATTTTTTTTCAAAAATATTAATTTCAAAATTCAATTATTTCTAAAAATTCACACTATATTGCTTTAATATTCATTATACATCCACAGTTTAACTGAAATTGATTTTTAAATCAATTTTATTAGAAAATTCTACTAGAATTCAATTATTTAAATACAAAAATAATGATTTATTGAACAATTGAATGTTCGTGAAATTCAAATTTCATAAAGAATGTATTATATTTTATAATTATTTTTCGATTTTAAAAATTTTTTCTTTTTGACAATTTTCAAGTTAAAATTTGATTAAATTTAATCTACGAGAAATTGATTAAATTGTAATTGAGTAATTATTTTATTAATTGAATATACCATAACTAAGAGAATGAATTTATTTTTGAATATAATTAAGGCGGGATTACTCTTGAAAAAATGAATTTCTGCAATAATTTGTAATTTCTTAAAAATTATTATTTGAAAAAATAGTTTTATAAAATTTTCTATAATTCCTTTAATAAAATTTTTTGAAAATTCTTTGACAATTTTTCAAATTTAATTATTGTTTTTAACTGAAAATTCATTTCTAAATTAATTTTTATTAGAAAATTCGACTAGAAATCAATTATTTAAACACAAAAAAATAATTTATTGAATATTGAATGTTTTCAATTATTTAATAAATATTTATTTTATTTAAATAACGAATTCTCGTAGATTTGAAAATTATCAAAGAATTTTTGCAAAAATTATTAAGAATAATTGCTGATAATTGAATTCCTTACAAGAATTTTAATACGATTTTTGAAAATAATTACATTTTCGAACCTGGAATTTACTTAAAATTGTATTGAAAATAATTGAAATCCAGCAAAGAATTTGATTATTTAGGAGAATAATTGAAATCTTGCAAACGAAATTTATTAATTTTTTCTAAATAATTGAAATTCTGTAAAGAATTTTATTATTATGAAAATAATTGAAATTCAGTAAAGAATTTTAATATTTATAAAAATAATTGAAATTCTGTAAAGAATTTTTATTATTTATAAAATAATTGAAATTCTGTAAAGAATTTTATCATTTATGAAAATAATTGAATTCTGAAAGAATTTTATTAAAATAGTAAATTTTAAAAATGTTTGAATTTCAGCGAAGAATTAATTGATTTTTTTTAAATGTACTTGAATTCTTGCAAATTATTCTTCAAAATAATTATACCTTACGAGGAATTTATTAAAATTTTATTAAAAAAATTAAATGTTTTCGTAGAATTATATTAAAATGTTTTAAAACAATTGTATTCTTTTGGAAAATTTTATTAATATATAGATTTTAAAAATAATTAAATAGAAACAATTTTTTGAAAGTAATTGAAATTTTACCAAGAATTTTATTACTTTTTAAAATAATTGAATTTCGGATAAGAATTTTATATTTCATAAAGATAATTAAGATTTTGACGAAAATTGTTTAAAAAATTTTGAACACAATTGAATTTCTGCGAAGAATGTTATATATTATTTAATTATTATTATTATTATTATTTCATGAGAATTTATATTCTTTCTAATTAAAAATCACTAAAATGTAGTAGAATTCATGTAGAAATTCTATAGAATCATTCTAGTGAAATTCTGTAGAATATTTACTAGAATTCATATATAGAATGATTCTAGTGAAATTCTATAGAACTTTTTCAGCGGTAATGAAATTAAATGTAAATTAAATTAAAAATTCTAAAAAAATGGAAAAATTGAAAAAGATGATAAATTTTAATTACATGTGACATTATAAATATTAAAACATACAACATAGTTTATAATAATTATTTGATTTCTATTATTGTTTCAAGGATATTTTACATAATTTATCAACAAAAATAATAATATATATTGTTTACGTATATTCGATTGCTAATGGGATTGCGATAATAATTATGAGCTATTATATGATTTTGATTAAAGGAGATGATTCGATTTGTCACCTATCAATTGATAAACTGGTTCCTCCTTTCAGATACAATTTAGTATTTCTCGGAGTAACATACCTATCCTATGATGGTAATGGCGGTATGTTACACTTTGATGGGCCGTAAATTGTGGGGCTCAAAATCGATAGGTGAGCATACGCAGTATCAAAAAGAATCGATGAAGTCAAAAAAGAAAGGTGAGCACCGTGAAAAATGACTTTCTTTAAAAGCTTTCATTGTGATCATAAAATCAATGTAAATATACTTTAGAAGTTTCTTTCTGTTCTCTATTTTTTTTATAGTTCTTTTGTTAAAAAAAAAAATTTTAAAAGCAACTCAGATTCATGAAGCAAAAAAAAAAAATACAAAAAAGTGCTTTGAAATTCTATATAAATTTAATAAAAAAGAATTCAAAAGTAATTTAAAAGTTTAAATAATCTTATGTTTTACAAAAGAACTTCAATCACACAAAACCGTTAGTCTGACTAAAAATGATTTTTACTACTTGATTTTCTTTTTTTAGTAATATTTAATTCAATATTTATATATTTATATTTATTTAATATTATTTAATTAGTAGAAAATCTTTTTCGTCAGACGTATCACCAGGAGTACTTGTAATTTTGTTAGTAGTAGTAAAAAAGCGTTTTTAGTCATTAAATCACCCAAATCGTTAGTCGACTAGAAAAAATAATTTTATTACTTGTATTGTTTTTACTTAGTATTTCGTTAGTTAGTAAAAAATGATTAATGTCTGGGTATCTCACTAAATTACTTTAATTTTTACCAGTAGTAGTAAAATTGTTAGTCAGACGTAAAAACGGTGTCTGACCTCTAAAATGATTTTACTACTTAATTTACGTTTTTTACTGATTTCTCCGGTTTGTTAAACACACAAAATTTCCTTGAATCGTGACTTATACTTTCAATTATTTTAATTTGTCAGTAGTAGTAAAACAAAATACGTTAGTAAGACCTCATGAAAATGATTAATAAATCATACGTATGACCTAAAAAAACAAAAATGATTTTTACTCACTTGTTTTCCTTTAGTTGACTTACATAGTGTCATTAGTAGTACATCGATTCCGTCAGACTGTATCATTTTGTACTTAAACCTGTGTTAGCGCAAAAAACCGTTAGTAAAATCCGTTTTTTGTTTTAAGTCAGATCATATAACAATCATAAAAATCGTTCGTTTCTGCAATCAGGAGTGCTACTTAAAATTATTTTATTTTGGCAAGTAATG